CAGATGCAATTTGAGGGGGGTGAGATTAAGGTAGACTAATATAATGAAGTAGTAACATATTCATCAGTAAAACAGAAAAGAAAAAATAGAGAAATCGAAAAACTTACTTTGTTTCGTATGGAAGAGATTTCTCTTTTGTGGTTGAAATGGGGAGAAGTATGGAAGACTGAAATCTCGAAGTTGAAAACGAAAGGGAAAGTAGGGTTTTTTTGTTCAATAAAAGGGTTCTAACCAATTGAACCGGTAGCGGGTCGCCAGTCTGACAAAAATCCTGTGTGATAAATTGTTGACGAGATTTCTCTATTTTTCATTTTTCTTTATTTTAAAATGTTGTCAAAAACCGCACGTACGGTTCTCTATTTTTCAATTTTCTTTATTTTAAAATGTTTAGAGAAAACCGCACATAGGGTTCTCTATTTTCCATTTTTCATTATTTTAAAATATTCAATAGAACCGCACGTATGGTTCTCTCAAAAACCGCACGTAGGGTTCTCTTTTTTCCATTTTTTTAAACACCTTTTTTCGCTAATAAATTTCTCCATTAGGGTTCTCTTCTTTCCATTTTTTTTAAACAGATTTTTCTGCTAATAAATTTCCAATAATTCATTTCCAATGCAATATATTAAGTATTTATTAAAATTTTTACATTTAAGTATTTTTCGACTTAAAGTCATGGAAATAAGAATTGTTTATTTAGATAGTCTGCGAACTCAATCAGTTGAATCGCACATACGGTTAACCCACATTCATTTTTCAATAAATAAATGTCTAAAAATTTATTTCAAGAGAATATGATGTCTTGATGTAACATGTAACGGTTATATTTTTTTCATTTTTACGGTCAAAGAATGAGTAACAAACGGTGGTTAAATAAATTTGTAATTTTTCATTTTTGATTAAGTAAAATTGAAATTCTCGAAAATATCAAAGAGAACCGCATGTATGGTTCTCCATTTTCCATTTTTCTTTATTTTAAAGTATTCACAAAAATCGCACATATGGTTCTATCTTCATTTCTTATTTTAAAAAAATGTGCTGAGAGCCGCACGCACGGTTCTCTCTTTTCCATTTTTCTTTATTTTAAAATGTTTCGAGAACCGCACCTAGGGTTCTCTATTTTCCATTTTTCTTTATCCGATAAATTTCTAATAATTCATTTCCAATGCAATATATTAAGTATTTATTACAATTTTAACATTTAAGCATTTTTTGACTTGCGATCATGGAAATAAGAATTGTTAGTTTGCGAACTAAATCAGTTGAATCGCATGTACGATTAACCCATTTTCATTTTTCCACAAATAAACGTTTAAAAATTTATTTCAAGAGAATATGATGTCTTGATGTAACATGTAACGGTTATATTTTTTTTTCATTTTTATGGTCAAAGAATGAGAAACAAACAGTGGTAAAAATATATTTATAATTTTTCATTTTTGATTAAGTAAAATTGAAATTTTCGAAAATATCAAAGAGAACCACACGCATGGTTCTCCATTTTTCATTTTTCTTTATTTAAAAATATTAACCAGAACTGCACATATGGTTCACTATTTTCCATTTTTCTTTATTTTAAAATGTTTCGAGAACCGCACGTATGATTCTTTCTTCATTTTTTTATTTTAAAAAAAATGTACTGACTCTTTTCCATTTTTCTTTATTTTAAAATGTTTCCAAAACCGCACGTAGGGTTCTCTATTTTCCATTTTTCTTTATCTGATAAATTTCTAATAATTCATTTCCAATGCAATATATTAAGTATTTATTAAAATTTTAACATTTAAGTATTTTTTGATTTGCGGTCACAAAAATAAGAATTGTTTATTTAGATAGCATGCGAACTCAATCAGTTGAATCGCACGTACGGTTAACCCATATTCATTTTTTCCAAAAATAAATGTCTAAAAATTTATTTCAAGAGAATAGGATGTCTTGATGTTACATGTAACGGTTATATTTTTTCATTTTTATGGTCAAAGAATGGAAAGCAAACGGTGGTTAAATATATTTGTAATTTTTTATTTTTGATTAAGTAAAATTGAAATTTTCGAAAATATCAAAGAGAGCCGCGCGTATGGTTCTCCATTTTTCATTTTTCTTTATTTTAAAATATTCAACAGAACAGCACGTATGGTTCTTTCTTGATTTCTTATTTTAAAAAAATATACTGAGAACTGCACGTACGATTTTCTCTTTTCCATTTTCTTTATTTTAAAATGTTTCCAGAACCGCACGCAGGGTTCTCTATTATCCATTTTTCTTTATCTGATAAATTTCTAATAATTCATTTCCAATGCAATATATTAAGTATTTATTAAAATTTTAACATTTAAGTATTTTTCGATTTGCGGTCATGGAAATAAGAATATTTTATTTAGATAGCCTGTGAACTCAATCAGTTGAATCGCACGTACGGTTAGCCCATATTCATTTTTCCAAAAATAAATGTCTAAAAATTTATTTCAAGATAATAGGATGTCTTGATGTAACATGAACGGTTATATTTTTTTCATTTTTATGGTCAAAGAATGGGAAGCAAATGGTGATTAAATATATTTGTAATTTTCCATTTTTGATTAAGTAAAATTGAAATTTTCGAAAATATCAAAAAGAACCGCACATATTGTTCTCCATTTTTTATTTTTCTTTATTTTAAAATATTCAAAAGAACTGCACGTATGGTTCTCTTTTTTCCATTTTTTTAAACTCCTTTAGAACCGCACGTAGGGTTCTCTTTTTTTCATTTTTTTTAAACAGATTTTTCTGCTGGTGAATTTCTAATAATTCATTTCCAATGCAATATATTAAGTATTTATTAAAATTTTAACATTTAAGTATTTTTCGACTTGCGATCATGGAAATAAGAATTGTTTATTTAGATAATCTGTGAAGTCGATCAGTTGAATCACACGTACGGTTAACCCATATTCATTTTTTCACAAATAAATGTCTTAAAATTTATTTCAAGAGAATATGGTGTCTTGATGTTACATGTAACGGTTGTATTTTTTTATTTTTATGGTCAAAGAATAGGAAGCAAACGGTGGTTAAATATATTTGTAATTTTTCATTTTTGATTAAGTAAAACTGAAATTTTTTAAAATATCAAAAAGAGCCGCATGTATGGTTCTCCATTTTCCATTTTTCTTTATTTTAAAATATTCAACAGAACTGCACGTATGGTTCTTTCTTGATTTCTTATTTTAAAAAAATGTACTGAGAACTGCACATACGGTTCTCTCTTTTCCATTTTTCTTTATTTTAAAATGTTTCGAGAACTGCACGTAGGGTTCTCTATTTTTCATTTTTCTTTATCTGATAAATTTCTAATAATTCATTTCCAATGCAATATGTTAAGTATTTATTAAATTTTAACATTTAAGTATTTTTCGATTTGCGGTCATGGAAATCAGAATATTTTATTTAGATAACCTGCGAGCTCAATCAGTTGAATCGCACGTACGGTTAACCCATATTCATTTTTCCAAAAATAAATGTCTTAAAATTTATTTCAAGAGAATATGATGTCTTGATGTAACATGTGACGGTCATATTTTTTCAGTCAAAGAATGAAAAACAAACAGTGATTAAATATAATTGTAATTTTCCATTTTTGATTAAGTAAAATTGAAATTATCAAAAATATCAAAGAGAACCGCACGTATGGTTCTCCATTTCTTTTTTCCATTTTTTAAACACCTTTTTTCGCTTATAAATTTCTCCATTTTTTATTTTTAAGTATTGAGGAGAACCGCATGTAGGGTTCTCTTTTTTCCATTTTTTTAAACAAATTTTTCCGCAGATAAATTTCTAATAATTCATTTCTAATAAAAACTAATTTATGTTAAGTATTTATTAAAATTTTAATATTTAAATATTTTTCGACTTGCGGCCATGGAAATAAGAATTGTTTATTTAGATAGTCTGCGAACTCAATCAATTGAATGGCACGTTCAGTTAATCTATCCACAAATAAATGTCCAAAATCTTGATGTAACATATAACGGTTATATTTTTTCATTTTTATGGTCAAAGAATAGGAATCAAACGGTGGTTAAATATATTTGTAATTTTCCATTTTTGATTAAATGTACGGATAACCGCACGTAGGGTTCTCTTTTTTTCATTTTTTTAGACACCTTTTTCCCGCTGATAAATTTCTAATAAATCATTTCCAATGCAAACTAATTTATATATTAAGTATTTATTAAAATTTTAACATTTAAGAATTTTTCTAATTGCGATCATAGAAATAAGAATTGTTTATTTAGATAGTTTGGGAACTCAATCAATTGAATCGCACGTACGGTTAACATATATTCATTTTTCCACGAATAAATGTCCAGAAATTTATTTCAAGAGAATATGATGTCTTGATGTAACATGTAACAGTTATATTTTTTCATTTTTATGGTCAAAGAATGGAAAACAAACGTTGGTTAAATATATTTGTAATTTTTCATTTTTGATTAAATAAAATTGAAAAATAAGAATGGAAATCAAACCTAGGTTCTCTATTTTCCATTTTAATTAAACATATTTTCCCCCCGATAAATTTCTAATAATTTATTTCCAATAACGGAGCTAATAATTTTAATTTGTTTATTAAAATTTTAACATTTAACTATCTTTCAATTTGCGGTCATGAAAATAAGAATTGTTTATTTAGATAGTCACGTAACTGAATATGATCGTTATTTTTCATTTTCTTTCAATTGAAAAATAGCAGATTTCCATTTTTTATGAATTCTGTGTTTTTTGATGGCATAACAATTATATTTTTCATTTTTGTGGCCAAAGAATGAAATCAAACGGTGGTTTTATAATTGTAATTTGCCATTTTTGATTAAATAAAATTGAAATTTTCCATTTTCCTTTATTTTAAAAAATGTTAAATAGAACCGCACTAGGGTTCTCATTTTTCCATTTTTCTTTATTTTAAAGCATGGAAATCATACGAGGATAAATATAAATTTTTCATTTTTGATTAATGTAAAAACTATCAGAGAGTACCGCCCTTCTCGCAAAATATTGAAAACCCTAACCAATCTCTGCACAAAATCTCAGTTTTAAATGTGAAATCGAAATCCTCAAGCGACCATTTAACTTTGTTCCTCTTGGGCAAAGGTTCAAAGGAGCAGTCCGTACACATTTTCTTGCAGCATACACTTCTGAGGAAGAGAGGCCACATGACATCCAAGGCATGATGATTAACATCTGAATATGAAGATCCGATGCCTGCTACTTTATTCTAAACTAGCAATCTTCCTTTTTATTTGATTTTAGTTAATCGATAGTTTTTCCTTTTAACTTGTTCTCTAGGTTTAATTTGGCTCGTTCGATGATGTTCAGACTTTAGATCTGCCGACTTTAGGTCTGTATTTGGTCGATTATTTTTTTGTTGGGGTAGTTATTTTTTATTGGCAGTCAATTCTTGACGCAAAAATAAAACTAAAACTAATGTTCCGACTTTAGATCTGTATTTGGTCGATTATTTTTATGTCGGGATAGTTATTGTTTATTGTCAGTCAATTCTTGACACAAAAATAAAATTAAAATTGATGTTCCGACTTTAGGTCTGTATTTGGTCGATTATTTTTTTGTTGGGATAGTTATTGTTTACTAGCAGTCAATTCTTGACACAAAAATAAAAATTAAAACTTTTGGCTTTCTTCTCCAGTTTAATTTTTGGGTATTCTTCTACTGATTTTAGGAAATCATCTTCAGCTAATAATATGATAATTTCATTTATTTGAATTCTTTTGATTTTACACATTAATTTTGGAACCTGGTAAATATTTTCATTCAACTTTATAATTACTGATTAATTTGCTTTTCATTCAACTGTTTTTTGCAAGGCACATTCTGGGAAGCTCACTTCCTCCCATTCAATCCAACAGACAAAAAGTATATCTCTAACATACATAGATCCTTCTGGTAAAATGCATTAAGCAAATTGTAGTTTTTTCGTTTTGTTCCCCCTTCATTTTTTGAAAATTTTATGTAATGTTTATATTTCATCATTTGTGTAAATTGTTGCTATGTTTCTCCTTTTGTTTTTATTCCATCATTTTGTTTAGTTAAAATGTGCCTTATATTTAGACTGTTTTTGGAAGTGCATTTTTCAAAGTCTAAAAGAAATTTTTGGAGATCAAAAATTATTTTATTTAAAGTACGATGTTGTTTGGGAGAGGTTTTGAAAGTATAAATTGCACTTTATATGTGAATATGTTATGGAAGATTCATCGCGCATGTGTAAATCACAGGTAATAAATTATTAGAAGTGGGCAGGAAGCAAATTTGCTACATACTTAGTGTGCCGTCCTTTTCTTCAAAGAATATTAGCATGAATGCCTTGTCTTTCAACTATGTTAGTGATTCATTATTGTGAATCTTTGCAGGTGCTCCATTGACAGTTGCTAAGGAAACAGGAATATGACTCGGGATGGGCACAAATATGCACCCTTCTTCATCTTTGCTCAATAACCATACGGATGATCTTTACCCTTCATTTTACTTAGCACTAAACTAAATAATTTATTAATGTTTTGGACATAGTAAGGTTGCTTTAAATATTTTGATATCTTTTTTGTATTCCAAAATATATATACTCTAAAGTGCTAACAATGACCACTTGTATAATGATCACAACGATACGGAAGATGTCATTCTAGAGCTTAATTAAACTTTTCATCCTAATGTTTACCTCCATCATGCATAATTAGATTCATGGATAATTAAGACTTCAAAGTTCAATTTTTGATGTCATTGTAAATATCAAGTGTCAGATTAAAATCTTCATGTCATTGTACATATAAAGATCTAGGACTATTATTTATTTATTTGGAGACAATGAATTGCCGAATTCAACAAATTCAATATTTTTACTTATTATTTACTCTTTTGAAGCTTTTTTTTTTTGGCAATAAATTTGACCCAACAACTTTTGAAGATAAATTCAACCGTACTTAGGCCTTCAAAATTTGAAGTGTATTAATATGAACAATCTTTTCCCTTTTTGAATAGGTTGTAATTTAATCTGTCTTGACACAATTTTTTTCATTAATTGATAAATTAGAGCATGAAGGAACGGGGAATGTTGAATTGACAGTCATTTTGTAGAAGTTTGTGCAATGTTATTGTACATTCTTTGTCATTTATAATGTATCATAAGTTTCATATTTTATTCTTTTGTTATTAATTTATTTCCAGGCGATGAACTTGATGTAGTTTTTTATACCCAGTCTTTTAAAGTTGGGAAAATTTTACATTTAAACATCTCAAACTAGTCTTCTAAGCAAGCTCTTCAAAAGAAAAAAGAAGGCTGCTATCAGAGGTTTTTAGGCAGAAAGCAAATTTGCTACATACTGTAGTGTGCTATCCTTTTCTTTAAAGAATATTAGCATGAATGCCTTGTCTCTCAACTATGTTAGTAATTCATTATTGTGAATCTTTGCAGTAGATAGTTGCTAAGGAAATAGGAAGACGACTCAGGATGGGCACAAATATGTACCCTTCTTCATCTTTGCTCAATAACCATAAGGATGATCTTTGCCCTTCGTCTTACTTAGCACTAAACTAAATAATCTATTACTGTTTTGGACATAGTAAGGTTTCTTTAAATATTTTGATATCTTTTTTGTATTCCAAAATATATACACTCTAAAGTGCTAACAATAACTACTTGTACAATGACCGCAACGACATGGAAGATGTCATTCTTGAGCTTAATTAAACTTTTCATCCTAATGTTTACCTCCATGCATAATTAGATTCATGGATGATTAAGACTTCAAAGTTCAGTTTTTAATGTCATTGTAAATATCAAGTGTCAAATTAAAATCTTCATGTCATTGTACGTATAAAGATCTAGGACTGTCATTTATTTATTTGGAGGCCATGAATTGCCGAATTCCACAAATTTAATATTTTTATTTATTATTTACTCTTTTGAACCTATTTTTTTGGCATAAATTTGACCCCCACAACTTTTGAAGATAAATTCAGCCGTACTTAGGCAACCAAAATTTGAAGTGAGGATTATTAATATGAACAATTTTTTCCTTTTTTGAATAGGCTGTAATTTAATCTGTCTTTACGCATTTTTTTCATTAATTGATAAATTGGAGCATGAACGAACGGGGAATGCCGATTTGACAGTCATTTTGTAGATGTTTGTGCAATGTTCTTGTACATTCTTTGTCATTTATAATGGATCATAAGTTTCATAATTTATTCTTTTGTTATTATTTCAATTCCAGGTGGTGAACTTGATGGAGTTTTTTATACTCTCTTTTAAAGTGGGGAAAATTTACATTTTAACATCTCAAACTAGTCTTCTAAGCAAGCTCTTCAAAAGAACAGAGAAGCTAGCTGTCAGAGGTTTCATTTTATAGTTCTATTTAGTAGTAAATAACTATGAAAAATGGCATGGGGTAAGATAAGGGGCAAAGGTTCAAAGGAGCAGTCCGTACACATTTTCTTGCAGCAGACCACATGATAAGGGCAAAGGTTCAAAGGAGCACTTCTGAGGAAGAGAGGCCACATGACATCCAAGGTATGATGATTAACATCTGAATATGAAAATCCGATGCCTACTACTTTATTCTAAACAAGCAATCTTCCTTTTTATCTGTTTTTCATATTACTTAATCAATAGTTTTTCCTTTGAACTTGTTCTCCAGGTTTAATTTGGCTCGTTTGATGAAGACAAAGTTAAGTTTTACAATTATAACTAATTAAATTTCCTTTTTACTATGACAATCATTTCTGTAATAGCTACAGCTCCATTTATCAATATAGTTGTATGTACTCTAATTTTTGGGTTAATGATAAAGCCAATAAGGTTGAGCCTCTTTAATGCATCAGCATTGGGATTTCCTAGAACTACAGGGGGACCCTGCATATATTATTTGGTCACGGATGAGGTAGTACAATTTTTTCTTCTATATTTTGCTTCATGTTTCCTTTATTTAATTTTTAAATAACTATGTTCTCTGAGTTGTTTTTGAATTGCAGTCTCTTCTTTCCGATGACATTAAAATCCTGAACTTGGATGTTTGCAATCAAAATTAGCAAATGATACTGAACTATTCAAAATAATGAACTAAGCCCCTAATTATCTATAGCTCATGACATATTTTTGGACACTAACACTTTACAAATTCCCACGCAGGTTGTCTTGTCCCCATCTACTGATGATTCACACTACCATCTCATTCGATGGTCACTTGTTCACAACACGATATAGTTAAGCCAAACCCAAATCATGCAATGGCAGTAGAAACCTTTACAGTTCCTCGAGAGCCTCGTAATGTCCATCTGCATTGGCTCATCCTGGCTAAAAAGTTGCAATGGAAGAAGAACTTGCGGCATTGCATAAAAATAAACTTGAAAACTAGTTCCACGTTCAACATTTATGCATGTTATCGGTTCACATTGGGTGTTCAAGTCAAAGCTCAAACCTAATGGGACACTGGTTGGTCTCAAGGCTTGTTTAGTCGCACAAGGAAATCATAAAATTGATGAAATTGATTAAACCGAAACATTTTCTCCAGTTATCAAATCGAAAACTATATGAATGGTTTTAAATGCAGCTCTTGTTCAAAATGGTCCATTTGACAACCCGGTGTAAAAAATGCATTTCTACATGGCTTAATTTCTGAAACAAGCAACTCGTGCTTGGTTTGATCATTTTAGTACTTTTCTTCTTAAATATAGATTTTTTTTTGCAGTTTCGCTGATCCATCTCTATTTGTTTTCATTCTAGTCATGGTTCACTAATCTTGCTTCTTTATGTGGATAATATGATTCTCATAGGAAGCTTGTCATTTCCTTCATTCAATTACTCGGAGATGAATTTTCAATGAAAGACCTCGTGCCTGTCCATCGTTTTGTTGGTGTTAGAGTTTCTTCAACACCTGATGGTCTTCACCTCTCACAATCCCACTATGCTCTTAGCATACTTGAGAAAACAGATATGGTTGATTGTAAGCCCATGAGTACTTCTTCAGAATCAAAAACGAAATATTCTCCCAAGGATACATATTTGGAAGACCAAAGTTACTTTAGAGGAATTGTTGGAGCCTTACAATGTCTCACACTTACTCGCCCAGACCTTATCTTTATGGAAATTACATATCTCAATTTATGCATTCATCCACTGTAATTCACATGAAAATGATAAGATGCAGCGGCGGAGCCAGGAATTACTGTTACAGTGGGCTAAAAATTTTAAAAATTTAATGTACGAATAAAATTTATATATAATAAGAAAAATTCATAATATAAGTTACCTATTGAAGTTGTACTCAGCGACGTTTTATAGCATAAAATTCATTTATAATATAATCTAGATCTATTATAAGTTCTCATTCATCTATAATGTATGCATAAAATTCATTCATACTAAATTCTCGTTCAATGTTTAGTGTTAAACAATCAGTAAGAAAACCATCATCCATTTTGTCACGAATTTCCATCTTCACATGTTTCATTGATGAAAATGCTCGCTCCACAGTTGCCGTTGAAACATGTAGTGTCAGTACAAAACAAATCAATTTAGTCAAAATGACGTAACTCTCTGACCTTCTTCTTGCAACTAATTCCCGACATAAATCAGAAAGTGTAGGTACTTGAAATCGAGATTCAGAATAAATATCTCGCTGTGTAAAAGCTTCAGGATAAAATTTCTCTACAAGCATGCAAATATTATTCATATTAAATGATTCAAAAGAATTTTTTGGATCCAAAGCCATACTAAAAGAAAGGAGTTCTAATGATGTCTTATTAAATCTTGTATCTAACTCCATCATCTGAAAGTCAATAGCTGCATTGAAAATATCAAAGTGATAATAATATTCAATGGTATGATACTCATGATCGCGAAAACAACCAAACATATACGAGAAATAATAGTCAGGTACATGTATATCATTTTTTAAACAAAAACATTTCACCTCTTCAAGAAATTCTTCCCAGCCACTTTCTCTCAATACTTGAAGGATAGTTTTTGTAGTACGGACAAATCTCATAGTAGTTAAGATGTTTTGAGTTTTCTTTTGAAGGGCCTGACAAAACACATCCACAATTGCTAATATTCTACGCATTAAATGCAAGATAAATACAAATTCAAATGTTGTCATGGTTTTGTATACACCACCAACTTCGGACTGAGATCTTATACTTGGAGAATGATCACTAAGATACTCAAGCACCTTGCAAGTTGCAGCATACATATCAATCAAACTCTTTATAGAGTTGTAATGAGAAGACCAACGAGTACCTCTGGCTTGTTGCAAATTACCAATTTGATTAGCACCACTTCTTGACTCTCGTTCTCCAATTTCCAACAAATGCTCAATTTCTTTTCTTTGGGCACTTTTCAACTCATTGATGCGCTTAGGAGATGATGTAATCATATTAATAATATTGTCCAAATAAGAAAAAAATGAATTAATATCTGAGATATTCCTAGTTGCGGAAACTAATGTGAGTTGTAAACGATGGACAAGACAATGGACATAGTATGTATATGGATAATCTTTAAGAAATAATTCCTGTAGTCCATTCCAAGAACCACGTATATTATTAGCACCATTATACCCTTTGGCCTATCATGTTTTGTACTTGAAGGTTGAAACAAACAAGAATATCAGAAATTTGATTCTTAAGATTTAATAAGGTAGTGTCACTAACACTTTTAATTGCAAAAAAAAAGTTCTGCCAAAATTCCATTATTGTTCACAAACCTCAAGATAATAGCCATTTGTTCTCGTGAAAATTCATCTCATGCTTAATCAACAAGGATACTAAATTTCGTATCCCCAATTTCGATACGAATTCCTTGTCTCGTTGTATTAGCCATAATGCTCAAAATTTCTTTTTTAACATCTGGAGACATGTATGTAGCATTTTTGGGTGCATTACCCAACACAATTTTTCCTACTTCAATATTCATTTTTGCAAATGCATCCAACAATTCAATAAAATTTCCATGATTTAGTGAAGATGGAGATTCGTTTTGGCATCTAAAGGAACAACATTGAAGTGCTAACCATGTAACACTCATAATAGTGGTCTTTAGATGTAAACGATTTTTCTATTTTTCCTCATTTGATATAGAATGCATTATCTTGTCAATATGTTGGATTGGTTTCATTAGATCTTCAGCTCTTCTCTTATAGGTATTATGAAACAATGAAGATGTTGTATCAACATGAATAAGAAATATACATATACTTCCTTGATTAACCCTCTTCCAACTATCAAATTCAACAGTAACCAACGATGAAATATTAGGTGTAGTACTATCACTGAGAAAAAAGAAGCAGTAAAAACAATATGCCTTATGTGTTGAAGGCGAATATTCCAACCAAGGTAACTGATTGTAACAACGTTCCTGAAATTGACGTTTCTGCTTTCCACATTCTTTGCTCTAATACTCCAAAAGTTTTGGTTGATAAAGTCCAACATTTATATAGGCTCGCCTAATTTGATCGTATTCATTAAATGGTTGTTCACATATTTGCTTTCTTTTTTCGGGTCCCGTTTAATAGAATCAGATGGTTTCAAATTAAGATTGGAAGATGAACGTCGTTCAACTTCAAGGGATGAAATTAGAGGAGCACCGTAGGAATTGGAGAATCATGAGATATGTTACTTTTTGAAAAGAAAGACAACAAGGTTCTTCCTTTCTTGAAAGAAGGTCAATCTTCTTCCATATTAAATTTAAAAGCATAAAAATCAAAATACTTCAATATCCCATAAAGGCATAAATATAAATTGATAAAATCATAGCCATAAAACCAATTTACTGTTTGCTATGAAATGAGATTTTTTATCCAAAGTCAGAGAACCAACCTTGAACCTTCTCAACTAGTTCAGCAACCTTTGGACTCTCTTCTTAGCAAATAGCATAGTACTTCAAATACAAAGAATCAAAATGCTTCACCTACAATTAAAAAAAAAAATCCCTAAAACTAAGATTATAAATGAAAAGTCAGATTATATCGTTATTAAATTATATAATTCCCAAACAATTTACACCCAACGATACATTTCAAGTGATTTCAGGAATATCCAAAGCAATTGCGAAAGATTAAAAATTCCAAAATACAATATTTAAGTTCACCCCTTTACCTTAAAAAAAAAAAAAACCACATCCACCAATCTCCACCACTAACCACACGCTGACTTAAAAATTTTGATATGTGCCCACTGCCCATGCCCAAAACAATCTGCAAATTTCAAATCTGGATGCGATTACTTAATTTTTTTCACCAATCACCCTATTACTAGTAAAACCTAGCACGAACAATTGAAGAAATCTTTAAATAGATGTACATAAAACAAATAATTATTCTCAAAAAATTACTCTCCTTTGAATCCTATATTAAAAAAGGGCTTTAGTAAAACTAATTATTCAAAATACTCCAATTCAATTTTAACATTCAAATTTGAAAAAAGGGTCACAAACTCATCGTCACTCACGACAGTCAGCAGGGCACAGGCCGATAGTGAGTTGGCAATTGACGATTCTGTTCGGAGTGGGAGACAAGGGCAAAGTGAAAAGATTTAGGGATTTTAATTTTTGGGAATTATTTGAATTGGTTTTGCAAAGGAAAACGAGAATGGAAAAGAAAGGGGATTATAAGTGAATCAGAATAAGAAAATGGGTAATGGACTAATGGGTATTATTATTGGGCCTAAAATTAAATAGAATTAGTGGGCTATAGATTAAAGAAATTGTTTTGGAGGTTGGCTAGCCCATTGAATTTATTTGTTGGTGGGCTAATATGGCTAATTGAATACAATTCAAACAAAAAAATAATAATTTTGCTGCATTTGTGCCTGGGTGACGGTGGGCTGCAGTCCACCACTAAATCCGCCCTAGATAAGTCGTATTCTTCGATATGTTAAAGGAACTATTCATTTGGGATTACATTTTACTTCCAATACTGCACTTGATCCATGTGCTTTTTCAGATACAGATTGGGTAAGTTGTCTTACTACTAGATGGTCCACCACTGGCTATTTGCACTTGTCTTGGAAAAAATTCATCTTGTGGTGTGCGAAAAAACAACATACTATATCTTGTTCAAGTACCGAAGCTAAGTATCGAGCCACGACAAATACTATAGCCAAATTGACATGGTTGAGCTTCATTTTGAAAGATCTTTGACAATGTCTTCTCCTCGAATTTTATACTGTGACAATCTCAGTGCTCTACATATGATTGTCATTTTTTCATGCACATAATAAACACATCGAATTGGACTATCATTTTATACGAGAACGCGTTGCTCTTGATCAACTGTCACTCAACATATCTCTACTGGTGACCAGGTTGTCGACCTATTTACTAAGCCGATGTCCAAAGAATCTCTCACTTATTTTTGGACCAAGTTGTGTCTTCAACCCCAACACAATTTGTAGAAGGGTATTAGCAATATTTCACAACTCAGCAAAAGAAATTATGAGAACCAAAGGAGATATAAGAAGACCTATAAATTTTGGAATGGTTAGGTTGGGCAATCTCTCAATAATTCCAAAATCAGTAGTAGAGAGAGTTTGAGTGATCAAGGAGACTTGAGGTTAACAAATTCAAACCAAAAGTTAGGCCAACATGATAAGAAGATCAAGCATGAATTAATAGCACAATGAGATCAATTGGTCATTTGACATACTGCAGCAGCCAGATTTGAGTCCAAATGCATTGGCTGAGATGAAACTTTCATGGAAATATAGTTAGTTTGTTATTAGTATATTTATATGTATGACCAAAGTGATCAAATGTCAGTTTCTTTGTTAGGCTTTGTTTTTGTTTAAATAGGAATCAATGTAAAGCAGAGAGCTCACGTCAAAATATTATCAATATCAAAGATTATTCTGTCCTTCATTTTCATACAAGAATTCTTTCATATCAAAATTATTTTTATCTAAAGAAGTATAACTGAAGTGGCTTTTCATTAGTAACGACAATTTACCCCGCCCAGCCTCGGTGTCGCCCCGCCCCGAATGGGGCAAAAAACCCGCCCCATGAAGAAAAAGTAAAAAAAAATAAAAATAAAAATAATTTTATTTCTAAACAATTCATCCATTAAAAACTCATTTTAAATTTGTATTTTATTATCTAATAATAACATAATTCGAAACTTTCAAAATGTAAAAAATAAAAATAAAAATAAAAAAATAAAAAAAATTAAACGGGGCAAAAAGTTGCCCCGCCCGCCCCGCCCCGCCCCGGTGGGATTTTAGAGAGACGGGGCGGGAGCGTTGTCTAAGGCGGGGCGGGGTGGGATTTTTGCCAAACGGGGCGGGGTGGGGTGGGGGTGCCCCGCCCCAAACCCACCCCGTTGCCATCACTACTTCTCATTGAAGTGTAAAGAACTATATAATTCATTTGATCCAATGAGATCTGTTTGACATAGATTTTTTTTAAATTAGATTATTTGAAAAAGTAATTTTTGGAGAATCTGAATAAAAAAGTAGGAAATTATAAGTTTATGTTCAAAATTATTTTATCGAGAGAATATGTGATTGAAAATGGATTAAGACTTAAAAAGTTTACTGTCATTTCATTACCTTTCTAAATCTGACTCTAGTATAAAATCGCAAGCAATTACACTGTTATGGGAAAAAAAAAAAAAAAAGGCACTATCATCTAAAAATAGTTTGGATCTAAATTACTTATGACATAATTTCTTTGGGGTCTGGGGTTTAGCGTTTACAAATATATATTTTATTAAATATCATCAAAATTGATCAGGCTATAGAAGTTAAATCACTTAATTCAATCTCTATAAAATAATAATCCTGAAAAAAAAATTATTATTTTAAAGAGTTAACTATTTCATAAATAAATAATGACATAATTCAAGCTATTATAGCTACAATAAAATCTCTAAAAATAATAATGTTGAAATGAAGAAAATTTATTACTTTAAAGAGTTAACTAATTCATAAATAAATATTTTATCGACATACTATATAAAGACATAAAGTTATTTTTAGTGACACTTTCAAAATGTGATGAGATCGAAATTTCTTGAATTATTCCAGTGAAAATAGTACGATGATAGAATAGTTTACTCTTAAAGAAATTATTCAAGAAGTATTGAATAGATCCATCGAAGATGATCATGACTTAGATGATAGTTGTGTTTCACAAACCATTTGAATGTGGTATACGCTTTACAAAAGAATTAGAAGGTTGAATTTAATTTGAATATATTAAAAAAAAAAAAAAAGGCAATTCAGATCCATATTGCAGCCTACAATCTGACCTTAGGAAGGGTTTCAAGGGTTTGCTCACCCTCGCGGGATCGCGACCCTTTGTCCCGGTCATTGTAGCACGTGACACCCAAGGTATAAGGGGCTAACTCTAAATCGTAGTAGCATTTCACCCCTAACTACAACTCATTCGCTGATTCTTCAACATCAGACATTTCATGTAACAAACTTGTATGATCCTGAAATATGGGTGTCCGATCCAAATGAACTAACGGGAAAAGTACAACATGTAAATCCGACAAAGAGGCATGGAAGGTTTTGATCTTTTTGTTTCGAGAGGAATAATTTCTCATCATCTTGCAACAGGGACATTAGGCATATTAACGAGTCTGTAACATGTATAGTAGAATTTTATATATTTAATTATTATTTAATAACGTTAACAAGATTATTAATTTAGTACAATTGTCTTAGTCAGGTCCTGAAATTTTTCATTTTAATGAGATTATTAATTTATCGACATTCATTTATTGAGGTTTTACTATATCGAAATATTCGAGGATTTCCAAAAGACAAACTCTGCATTTTTGACTTTCGTCACTAACAATTCTAATTGACCATCTAAGTAGAAGTATCACAATATATACAAAACTATACGTCAGTTCCAGCGAGAACCAAATAACGGAACAAAAGAAAATCCCACTAGCAAGTGAAAAAAAAAAAAGGGCCAGACCAAACAAGACATTCGTTGATCTTTATCCTCTTCTCGGGGGCCATCCAGGTTAGGCCTGCGGTTCAGCCATCTCCTAATTTCACGCGTTGAAGTCTCTAAACTTGTCCTTTGGAAGGTAGAAATCGAACTTGACATCAACGGAACCAGAAACTTCTCCAGTATCTTTGTACTCAATGTTTGTTATTGCTCCAATTTCATCCTCAACTAGATATTCTGATCTCACCCGACGCACTGGTACAGTGACTGAGTAAATGGTGCCAATATCTGGATCAGTTGAGACACTCAGTTGAACTTTATCCTGTGATTCTATCTCCACAAAATCAGACAGTACAGTCACAACATTACTCACAATCTTTTGTTTTGCCTCCTCGCTGACTGCACATCGATCTGAGAAGAGAATCATCTTCAACCGTTGCTTTGCAATATTAGCATTAGAATTTCTTCTTGATGCGGGTGATGGAAATAGGATCTTCCATGCCAAATTTAAACGCTCAAAGAAGTTCATATTAATTGCATTAAGGAGGAAGTTATCGACTTCCTGGCTGATGGGATTTGTAGAAAGCTTATATTCTTCAAAAATCCCAAGAGGCCGCTTACAATGACAGCGAGTGCTTTGGCCATCATGCATTGGACGAGAATATCTTGACATAGTCTCCGAAACACTAGATCCGCCATTAAGGAACACACTACAATCCACCTGTAATGCATCACAAGATCATCTTTAAGAAAATAATCACCATGTATTTGCCAATACAACAATTACAAGCAAGATAGGAAATATTACAATCTGTTCAAACGTTTTACCTAATTTCTGAATTCAAAATGTAAAGAAAGAGAAGGTGACAGAATATGATGAAAGTTACATATAAACCTTCGAAACATAGCAACTTTACATGTATAACACATTTGCAAATCATTTACTGATTCTCATTACCACTTTTTGAATGACATCATCGTTGAAGACAAAATTTAGATAGCCCTGTTTGACAACCATTATTTGAAAACTCTTTTTTTCTACGTACTCATTTTCAACCACACAATTACACAATAAAATATTCTGCACGTAAATCCAAAACTTATTTCCTACTTTTTATCCATACATTTTCCTAAAATCACTATTCAAAACATTATTTCCAATCTTATTTGTAATATCAATAACATTCATTGTATGTATGCCTCTCAAAGATCAACAAACACGGGCTTAACATTGGACATCAACAAGACAAATGTCATGAGTTTAAATCTCACTGTCACCCACTTAATGAAATTATTCACGTATTAGGCTTTGATGGGAAAAGTGAACCACACCTACACTTGAGGGGGCGTGTTGAGGATAAAATTAAAATAATATAGACGAGACCCCATGTAAAAACTTAAACTTTTAGATCCAATCAAATTATTCAACAATTATTTTCTAGACGAGCTATGGGACTAGGACTAGACATGATCCAGTTCCAAACAAAACCGAACTGAACCCAAATTTTCGGATATTTAGTAAATGGAACCGTCGAGGTCCAAATTTAATTATGGAACCGTTCAGGATCGATTCTATTTGGTTCAGTTAGGTTCAATTCGGTTCCTGAATTCCATACAATAATTAATTTTTTTAATATTTACAACAACGCTACATTAATTCAACTAATTATACGTTCAATCAACTCTTACAAAATAATGTAGTCCAATCCATGTATTTTTTGCATCTGAGTTCTTTATATATTTTATTGTTAAAAACACAGAAATAGGAATATAGCGAGCTTACAATAATGAAGAGATGCGCAACCGAGCTTTCAATTCGATTTTTTCAGAACTATAAAAACGAAACTTCGGTAGAATAATATATTTGGATAAAACTTATGTCAATTAGATTAAGTTGGGTTTGAGCTAAATATTATAAATAAGAAAATCATATTTCGAATTTGGACTAAATTAATCAGTTAGCAAATTTGTTTTGAAAAAAATAAAATAAATTGACTTATTTCAGATAAATAAATTAAAAAAATTGAGAGATTTGATTCTTATTCAGTTTTAATCTAGAATCGAGAACCAAACTAAATTCGTCGATTCTCGATTTACATACCCATTCGGTTATTTAATTTAAGAAAAATCGCTCAGTTCTGTTTAGTTTGGGATGGGGTTCGGTTCGGTCCGATTCGATTTGGTTCAGGAATTTTGCCTAGCCCTATTTGGGACTGCCAAGGAACCAAGATAAATGCATAATACTTGAGAATTGCATGGGTAATTAAAGATAGAGAAAATTACCTAGAAACCTACTTTTAAACAATAGTTTTCAGAAATAAAGGGAATTAATTTTCATTTCACAAATCAGGTGATAATTAATTATTAAATTAATTAATACATAGTTAATAATGGAAAATGTTTTATAACTTTCCCCCAGCCAAAATCACCCACCCACTCAAATTAAACTTTCTCTCTCTTCTTCCTTCTCTAGCGTCTTCCAGGCATTGATAAAAATGGAAGATTCCTAAATTACAAATCTCAGAAATTTCAAAGTCAGGTGCCATTAATGGGACCCATCACGACAAATCTACAACCATGATTTCACCACCCCCATTCCGCCACTACTGTAGCCATGGGTTTCTATCAATCGAAGCAAAATTTGATTCGATTGTGTGCGCCTGTTCTTCTAATTTTGATTCAATTGTTTAGTGTTTTTTGAAGGTGTTAGTGAAAGTTATGGTAGTGATGATTGTTGTTGTAGATATGAGTTAAAGATGTTAGTAGTGGTGGTGGTTATTATTTTTTCGAACAGATCTGCTGCGGTGGTTGGAGATCTGATTTTTTCTGTTCGAGATTTGGTTGTGACTGTTTGTGACCTATTTTGTATTGATTGTGACCGGCTGTGACTTGAAATTGATCTGGTCACAGACAGTCACATTGAATACAAACTTGGTCACAGATCTCGTATCAATTTACCCCAGATCATGTATCAATTTTTAACCCACACACTCTATTTCTTCCCCCAAAAATTAGTTCGGCACTCTCTTACCCAAAAATCAAATCTACGACTTCTTTCCCACCCACCATCTAGATTCCGACCGCCGACCACTTTTCTCACCGCATTTTCACGAAAGAAGTGTTGTGGTATTGGTTAGTGTTCTTTGAAGGGTTGGTGGAAATTATGGTAGCGATGATTGTTATGGATTTGAGGTGAATGTAGTATTTATGGTCATCAATTTGAGTTAAAGATGTTAGTAGTCGTGGAGGTTAATATTTTTCCAAACAGATCAGCTGTGATGGTTGGAGAGCTGATTTTTTCCATTCGAGACATGTTTGTGACCAATTTTGTATTAAGTGTGACTGATTGTGACTTGGAGATTGATCTGGTCACAGAAAGCCACAATGAATACAAATTTAGTTATAATTAGTTACACCAAAGGCAAAGTTGGTCACGGTGATTCTCAGATAACATAAGTCAATGAATTGGTCACACATAACACAGCTATGATCACAAATAACACATGAAATTTCAAATTTTATTTCTTAATATTGAAATTGATCAAATGCATATTCATCCCACCTAATTAGGTCACAGATTCAATAGAACTAGTCACAAATCTAATGGAACTGGTAACAAGTGGCTAAAAAAGAAGAAAAAAGGTAGTCGTCAGAAAGGTGATCGGTCACCGGAATATTCGTCGAACGGTTGTCGGAGCATCGTCGGGAGGTTGCCGGATTGTCCCCAAAGCGATCGTCAGGATTGTCATCAGAGCAATCGTCGGAATTGTTGTCGGAGCTATCGCCAGAGGTGGGGTGCGGTGGAGAGAGAGAGAGAAAGGTTTGATGTGATGGGTGAGTGGGGTTGGAGGTGGGGTGGGGTGGGTAAGTAAATTAATTATACTATATTATAATTAATATTTAATAAATTTAATTATAACCTGATTTTTGAAAGATTTTTAGAAATTTGTTAATTTTGAAATGTGATTTTTAAATGGAGGATTTATGTGGTGTTCCCTTAAAGATATCTCAACTCCACCCCATAACAGCCTTATCGCATACTTATCTGAGAGCATTGTGGCTATATCTAGAATCCTCTTTTTCCACTTCGCTCTACCACAGGACATATATCACAAAGTTCCAAGTCCTTTTCAAGTATCTTACTTCATGTAATGTTAGGCCTGCATAGTTTTACAGTTTATACAAATCCTATCACTTTACCCAACACGATCGACTGCTTATCAGGAATCACCTATTACATAAGCGCTTTTGAAGCCCCACCAAGTCTTCCAGTTAATTATAATTAAAAATGGTTCCATCGTCTTTTCTGAATAATTTCCTTTCAACAGTAAATCAAAAAGTTGGAAGGATAAATCTTGAACTTCATCAAGTGAACTTAAATCCTGGATTGACCCTAAAAATATCCATTAAAACTTAAGCCCGGAAACGAATAAAACCAATAGCCTCAACGACTCTTCCTGCATTGTTGCAATTTCCCGACACCATCATCACAATATGAAATCCACGCCAAGATGAAACGAAAGTTAAGAAGCGCACCAATAAGGAAAGTAAGGACGAAACGAACCTTGGAAGGAGGTAAGTGCAGTGAGGTACGAAGGGGGTTGGATTTGTAAGGAACCATAGCTGCAGAGACCCTCAAATCTCCTGTTATCGCCATTCGTTCGTCGATTTTGATTTTACTATCCCCGTTTTGTGGAGGATTTTGTCGAATTTGCTCTCTAGTTCACTAGGGCTTGCAAGGAGAGTTGAGAAGTACTTTAAGCGATGTCGTTTAAGCTTGGGAGTTTTGGGATTATTGTGCTGCAATTATTTATCATCAGTATTTACAGAGAGAGTCCAGAGTTTGAATGGGTTTTACTTGGGCCCATATAAATCTGAGAGGTATCATTTTGGCCCATTCAATTCATTCATTTTCATACAACATATATGTATGTAGGTAAGTATGTAGATACATACAATTCATTTATTTATTTATTTTTTCCGGGTCTCAATTATGTGTATCATAAGATAAGACATAAAGGTACTCGTGGATTTGCAATAAAGATTGTCATCATTGTTAAATCGAGATAGTTACTCTTCAATTTGAAATCATTATAAATTCAAGTGTTGACAGTTGACATGTGATTTTATATATTCGATATTAATATCTAAAAGTATTATGCTTTTATGAATTTATCACTTCATTAAAATGAATCTATTAGGAGATCAAGACCTAGCACGGGCGAAACTTTACAAGGTTGGTGACCTGGTTTCAAGTCTCATTTGAGTGGGTAATTTAGTACTTAATAATCGTAAGAGTTGAATTATAGGCCTACGCACATCTCAACCTCAAAACTAGACCTTTTTAGTATTTTGGAGTGGGTTTCTATTGAGTTATGGATTTTTTTCCTTTGTTCAGGATCTCAAATGTTGAAAAAATGAGATGAATTGTACCAACTTGGAATGAATTTTGAAGTTAGAAGTAAAGAGCCAAGCATCAAGGATAAATGAGAAGGAAGAGAAGGGCATAAGGAGAAGCTTTCTGCCAACTCGAGCATGTAACAACCCTGCTCGAGCAGGGCCAAATTGTAAGGAACGATACCTCTTTATCTGCTCAAGGGAAAGTGAGGCCCACTCAGACGGACCCGTGATAATTTTTTTAACTCTTTGTTTGCTTGAGCATCAGTTGTGTTTCTTGCTTCGAGAATTAATTGGTCATCTATTTTCGAGACTCATTTGTGTGAAGTTTATACACGAATTTTGGCATCAATTCATGAATATATAGAGAGGAACTCTTGGAAGGATTAGGCGTTTTGAGGAAAAAACACCAAAATTTCTCAATACTTTTGTTTATCCAGAAATTTCTTAGAGTTCAAATAAAGAGAAGAAAAAAGATAATTAAGGACCGATTACGAAGATTCAAGAGTTTGAGTTTAATCGTTTATTTTTCTTTCATTACTTGAAATTTGGATGATTTATTTTGATTCAAAAAATGGATTTTTTTGAGTTAAAGATGCTAGGCTAAACTTTTCTACACGAGGACAAGGATGAAAATGTAAAACTTTTATGCAGCTTTAATTCAATTTTCACATTTTTAACAATAATACCAATGTTTTGAAACCCCGGTCATCGACCCCAGGAAGGTGAAGGTGAAGGTGAATGTTAAGGGTTAAATGGTTCAACCAGAATCGAATTGGATGCAATAAATAAATAAATACATACAAAAATAATAATAAAACCGTGAAAATAAGAATTTTTTTAATTTTCTTATTAATAATTCAAAGTAAATCTATCTTTGGTGATTAGATTCATTATCATACAATTAGTCTTAATACTTCAAAAATTGAAAATCAATATGTTAAAATAGTTTAAACTTATTTGAAAATGATATTTAACATTAATAAATTAATAATCAAGTGCCATTCAAATTAAATTTGAAATTAGATAAATGAAAAGATAAAGGTGGATATTACAATTTAGTTAGTTAGGATTCAAAATCAAATTAGGGTGTGTTTGAACCTTTTTAATTTTGAAAAATGCATTGTGGAATAGTAGATTGATGGAGAATATATGGTTAAAAAAGAAGAATTTTTTTTGTTTTGCATGTAGTATTATTTTAATGAAGAATGTGTGGTTAAAAATGAGTATGGTAGAAAAATAATATGATAAAATGCAAAATAATTGGTGACAAACAGGGACTAGACAATTAGATATAGCCCCCGTTTGACCCTCATTTTGTAGAGTTGAAAATAGGTGGAATAGTAACTTTTTTGAAAAATGAGTGGTTAAAAAAGAAGAAAAAAATTTAGATTTACGTGTAATATTATTTTATGAAAATTGTGTGGTTGAAAATATGAGAGAAAAAAATCTAATGTAATGTAATAAAAATTAATGGGAGCCAAACAGAGGCATACATTTGGAAAATGCTTTGATGGGCATTTTAACATTTTTTGTATTATGTCACTGTCCCATATTGAAAGTTTATGATACCATTGAAAAGAATTGTATTAATGAAAGTCCTATCTTACATTAGAAGTTTATGAAATTATTTTAAAGAAATACAACTATAAAAAGAGCACGTCATCCAAATCGCAATAGTTC